AGTCTTGTTACAAGATACCATTTGCTTGTGGGAGCCTGAGGCCCCAGGAAGATATGACTGTAGTGATCCCCTAACAATACATGTGACCAGGGAAGATTTCTTCTATGAAGGCAAGGATGGTTTAACCTTGGAGTGGCTACTGATGAAATATACCACAACAGGTGAAAAGAATAACCATAAAGTCACCATCCATTCCTGGTAAAACTTTTGGTCAAAAAGTTATGGAAGGCTGTTATTTTTTTAATTGTGGTAAAATACACATAACATAATATTTACCATCTTAACCATTTTTAAGTGTGCAGTTCAGTGGTATTAAATACATTCACATTGCTGTGCAACCATCACCACCCCCATGATTCTTTTTATCTTGTAAAACTGAGATTGTACCCATTAAACAATACCTCCTCATTCCCCCCTCCCCTCCGCCCCTGGCAACCACCGTTATACTTTCTGTCTTTGTGGTTTTGACTAATCTAAGTACTTCATATAGGTGGAATCATATAGCATTTGTCTTTTTGTGTCTGGCCTATTTTACTTATCCTAATGTCCTCAAGGTTCATCTGTGTTGTAGCATATTGCAGAATTTCCTTCTTTTTTAAGGCTGGGTAATATTCAAAACTATTTTGTTTAACTGTTAAAGAATATCTGTCTCAAATTAATGGCTAATATTGCATATGATAATAAAATATATGGATATATCTGTTATAGTCAGGAAGAAGATAAGGATGCTTGCTACTTAATATTGTTCTGGAAATTCCAGCCACTATAGTTCCATAAGAAAAGGAAATAAACAGTATAACTCTTGAAAAAAGAAGATAAATGATCTTTATTTGCAAGTAGCATGGTTTTCTTTTTTTTTTTTTTTAAAGATTGGCACCTGGGCTAACAACTGTTGCCAATCTTTTTATTTTCTTTCCTGCTTTATCTCCCCGACCCCCCCGTACACAGTTGTATATCTTAGTTGCACGTCCTTCTAGTTGTAGACCTCAACGTGGCCTGACGAGCGGTGCCATGTCCGTGCCCAGGATCTGAACCCTGGGCTGCTGCAGCAGAGTGCGCGAACTTAACCACTCGGCCACGGAGCCGGCCCCTGGTTTTCTATTCAGACTAAAACACTACTTTGAAGTAAGAGTATATATTTAAAAATTAGCTGTTTTTACAGCTCCACCTTTCCATTTGTGACCTAGATTCCACCCTTTTGCCTATTCAAGGACTTTGTTCTTGCATTTTTCCTTCTTGTCAATTTTTTTCTCTCCTTTCTGGATTATCCCCAACAGCATATGTGACAGTATTTCCCATCTTTAAGATATCCTCCCTCTGACCTCATCATGTGCTTTTCCAGCTACAATCCCATTTCTCTGCTCTCTTTATAGCAAAACTCGTAAAGAGAACTGTCTGTAGCCACTCCCTCAGCCCCTTGTGTGCCATTTTCTCTTTCTCTTTTTATAACCTTTCTTTTTATTATTCTCCTCTAGGCGTTTGATATGTTGGCAAGAGGACTCACATTTGTATGGGTCCCACGCCCGCTTTAGGTGTGCACGCTAGACAGAGCTGTGCCCCACTTCTTCCCTCTTCACTTCGGCCTGTCTGTCAGCTTCACCACTTCACCGACTCCTCCCTGATCCCGTCAAGGTCACATGAGACCTTAGTTGCCTATCGACTGGTCAGTTCTCCGTCCTCCTCTTACTCAACAACTCAGCAGCATTTGACGCAGTGGCCTACTCTCTCCTCGCCAACACTTTCTTCACCTGCCTATTGGGACACCAAAGTCTCCTTGTTTTCCTCCCACATCGCTCATCACTCCTGCTCAGTCTTCTGTGGGTGGGCCCTGGCTCTTTTCCCCTGTGGCCGTGTCTTCTGCTTGGATGACCTCATCCAGGCCCATGACCCCTAACAGCATGTAGGCACTGATGATCCCTGGTGATATATCATGGCCCGCCCCCAGAGTCTAGATTTGTCAGTGCAGATGCCTGCTCAAAGTCTTCACTTCCACGTCTCACAGGCACTTCAAACTTGACCTGTCCGATCTTGATTTTTCTCTCAAACTTGCTCCTCCTCTTGCTTAATGGGACACCTTAACACGCTTTTGTTCAAGCCCCCAAACCACAGTACATCCTTGATCTTTTTCTTTCCCTCACCCCTTTCTTGCATTCAATTTATCAACCTCTCCTGTTGACTGTCTTCAAAATACATCACGGCCTCACCCTGCTGCTACAACCCAAGTCTTCTCCATTGCTCTCAGCTCCTGCCTGGACTGTTGGCAGTGGCCTCCCCCATGGGTCTTCTGCCTTCACCTGTCTTCCTCAGCAGTCTGTTCCTTCACAGCAGCTGGAGTGACATTTTAAAATGTAAATCAGATTGTACCACTCCCCTGCTGACCCTCAGTTGCTTCCTATTACACTTAGAATAAAATTCCATTCTTTCTACCAGTCCACAGGTCCTTAAAGATCTGGTCTCTGAGCGCCCGTCTCACCTTTTCGCGGCCCCTCTCCCTGACTCTGTTTGGCTGCATCTACTTCAGCCTTCCCTAGTCAGCCTCCTGGCCTCTACACAGGTTCCCTGGGCCTCAGGTGGCCTCCTTGATGCACACATGACTTGCTTCATCTCATTATGGGGGTCTGTGCTCAAATGCCACTTCTTCAAAGATGCTTCCCCGATCACCATCCAAATATGTGCCACTCCCCCAGCATCCTCTGCTCCTACCTTGCTCTGTTTTCTTTGATTACTCACAAGTGTCTGAAATTATTTTTCTATTTATATTTTTATTTATTGTCTGTCTCTCCCCCTAGAATAGAAGCTGTGAAGGCAGCAACTTCATCTGCCTTGTTCTATCTTGTATCCCTTGTGCTCAAAGCAGGGCTGGCCCATAGTAGGTGCTCAGTTAGTGTCTGTTGAATGAATTTTAGCGCTTACCAGTTATAAAACATCCAGGGGGAGGGGGGCCGGCCCCATGGCCGAGTGGATAAGTTCACACACTTCCCTTTGGCAGCCCAGGGTTTCACCGGTTCAAATTCTGGGTGCGGACATGGCACCGCTCAGGAAGCCATGCTGAGGTGGCGTCCCACATGCCACAACTAGAAGGGCCCACAACTCAAAATACACAGCTATGTACCAGGGGCTTTGGGGAGAAAACGGAAAAATAAAATCTTTAAAAAAAAACTCCTGGGAAAAAACGGTGTGTTTACGACATTGAGTTATACGTATGTATATAGTGCCTAAACATCAGTAAGTAAAAGATCAGCAACCAAAATGAGGCATCATTTTCTCCTATCTAATCGGAAAAACTAATGTTAGTGATACTGTTAGTGAGAGGACTAGGAAATGGGCCCTCTCTTTTGCCACTGGTGGAAATATAAAATTGTCTAAGCTTTCGTAAGTGGTGAGTCATGGATGATTTTTATCTCAGTTTTTGTGGTTTGCTATGTTTCCCACTTTTTCCCAATAATTACCATCTTTTCCCCAATAATTTTTAAACCAGAAAAATCCCTTAATCTTCCTTTGCCCCCGCCATTTTTTTTTTATTCACCTGGCTGGATCCTTGCACAGCAAACTTGTGAGGCTGATCCCAGGGGCAAGACGCTCTCGTTCTGCTGTTGATCTTCTCCTAAGAATATTTGATCTGAATCTTGTGTCCGATGTCTCTGGAATGATGCAGTCCTGGTCATTGAAAACCTTGTGTGCAGAGTCACTCTTGCTCTCAGGGCCTGGGCTGGTTTGGGGAGCCCATGAGTGCTAAGGTGGGGCCCACCCAGTTTGAGGTGGGGTCCCACAACCCTTCCTGCCAAGACCCAGGTCTCCATAGACAGGGGAAGCCTAACATTTCTTGGCAGATAACACTGCCCGACTCCCTCGCTGCTTGGAAGTGAATTAAAAACAATAACAATCACAGCCACACATGCCTTTCCCTCTGCTGTGTGCAGCTGGACTTCTGGTGCCTGTTTCCCTTAGACACACCCGGGCTCTGTTCTGCCAGTGCCCACGCGGCCAGCCCTCTCGTCTGGGCCCCAGGCCCCCGGAAGGAAGGCCAGCAGCCGAATCATTATTGGCCATTCTTCGGTTTTCCCTTGTTGCTTTCTTTCTGGAGGTGCTTTGGTAATTCGGCATTTCATTTAATTATGTCATTTCTGGGCATGGCAGTTGAGTTCCTGAGCACCCCGTGGCCCACCCTGAACGGTGTTCACCCCGATGTCTAGAGCAAACCAAGGAGCCTGCGCATACTCGGCTCCTAGCTCTCGGCTCTTGCATTGATGTTTTCTCAGCCTCATCCCTCTTAGACCCTGGCCCTCTGACAGTTGGCACAGTAACCTCAAGAGCCTGCCAATAGGCTCTGGATTATTTGGAGTGGCACCGAGAGAGAGATGAGGGTTGGAGCTGGCTCAGGATATCGCTTCCCTAGCGTTTGTGGGCTGAATGGCACACACTTAGAACAACTGCCGATGCTCCCAGTGCAGGAACCTGGGACGCGGTGAGAGGGGCAGATTTTAACTACTTGGTCTTCTGTTGGCTATGCTGTCCCTTCTCCCTTGGGGCTCGGGGGACACGGCAGAGCAGGGGAGCAGTGGAGTACCTGCCTGCTGCTAGGATGGGGAGGCACCCATCATAAGCTCCCCTTCCTGCCTTAAGCACCTGGTGGAGGTCTGATGATGTTTGAAAGATGCCTAATCCGTCTCCATGCCTTTTAGAGAAAGTGCCTGTGGGAGAGGTGGGAGAGAAGAGCTCTCCTAGAATAGGTGTGGTCCTCTGTCAGCCCCTGCCCAGGCTTGAGTCTGGGGGTGACTCAGACTCGGGGTCCCCTGCACTGTCATGGACTGCAGGGGCAGGTGGGGTTGTAGCTTCACTTGTCTCTTTTGCCTAGTCAACCCTGCTTTGCATCAGTTATTCATTTATCTGTACTTCTGTGTTTTCTAGTTCATCTACCCCTCGGGCCTAAGGGGCTCAAAAGAACTCTGCAATTAATCCGGTTTGGACTTAACCATCTTCTTTTATGCTTCTTCTTACAGCTTAAACTTTGGAACAAATATCGAATTTCCAACATTCCATCACTAATATTCCTAGACGCCACCACCGGGAAGGTCGTGTGCAGGAATGGGCTGCTGGTGATCCGTGATGACCCAGAAGGTGAGCCCTTGGCATGTCCATCCCATAGTCCTGTTCCGTCCCCCTGCCCCGACCTCCTCCCCATTGGTAGAGAGCGTCCAAATGAACTACATGTACGTGGGTTTATTTGGCTAGAGGATACTGTCTTGATGAAATTATAGTATTCTCCAGGTCATGGCTCAGATTTTTAAAGGGATTAGAATGTCCTTTCTGGGAGCTTTAATTCATGGGCCAGAGGAGATGGAATCTGAAAAAGGAAGTTCAGCTTTGAGAGCTGAGGAGGCCTTTGAGAAGGAGCTAGATCCAGGATACTGACTTCTAGTGCCTTTTCGACAGCAGCTGTCACCTTGACAATTAGAGGCAGGCTAAGTGGTTTTTGTTTTTCTTTTCTTTATAATAATTCTGTAGCAAAGTCACAGTCTCTGGGTTGCTCTCCCATCCTCAGCGGTGACTGCCCCTCATTTCTTGGTGCTGCCCCCGTCCTGCTGGCCTTGGTCTTGCTGACCGGCCGGGTGGTGGCCACGCAATGAGTAGGCATCTCTGCTCTGATAACCCTGCTCAGTGGCTGTCCATGGTCTGTTCCTTTCCCCCTTGCCCTGGAGTCATAATAGGGTCATGAGATCTTCCCTCCCTCACTTGTTGATCAAATTAGAGAAGTCAACCCTGGTCACAAATTTTCCCAGTAAAAATTTCACATGCTTCAAAGAATTGCCCTCTGTAAAAACCAGAGCATGGCAGAACTAAGTTTTTACCTTCTCATATCTAAACACACACACATACATGCCCCCTACTCTGAAGCTCATTAAAAAGGCAGATTCCCCAGTCCCACCCCCAGGGATTTTTGGATTCAGTTGTTTCAGGGTGGGCTTGGCCATCCGCACTCTTAACCAGTCTGTGCTTCTCCCGTCCCCTGCTCACCCCGGGTGGTTTTGAGGCAGTGGTCCGTGGACCACCCTGGGAGAAAACACTGCTTTGTTGAGCTGGGAGCATATTATTTGCTCTTCCTGCCTGGAGCTTAAGTGTCATCAGAATGTAGACCATCTGGGTTGAGTAGATTTTACTCTTTCCTTTCACTAGACTTAAATTCTCATCTCACTTGGTTCCCTGGGCCCCAAACCAGACCATCTGAAGCAAGATCTCTGGGGGTGGGGCCCAGGAGCATCATATTTTAAAATCCCCAGCTGACTCTACGATGCAGTCAGAATTGACAGCCTCTGAGACTCCAGGGTTGGAATTGAAAAACTCATGGTTAACACCTGAGCAATGATTCCCTACCTTGGCCCATCGTCAGAGTTACCTGGAGAGTCTGTTTTGCTTTGTTTTGGACGTACATCTTCAGCCTTGCTCCCAGATCCCAGGACTCAGCGTGGGACCTGGGCTTCTGTAGTTTTCAAAAGGCCCCAGGGGCTGGGTCCTGTGATCATCCAGGTTCGGGACCCATTGCCTGGAGGGTAGGCAGGCTCTGCCATGGATGAGTCCTGCTTTTATTCCTGGGTTTTAGCTGCAGATCCTACGGATGTGTTAACAAATGCTATTTGATGATGAGGTTGTCATGCCGTGCATCCCTGAGGGTCTTGGGTCAGAGATCACAATGAAGAGTCTTAACAATTCTCTCCCTCTGTTGCCTGTTTCAGGTTTGGAATTCCCTTGGGGACCTAAACCCTTCAGGGAAGTCATTGCAGGGCCCTTGCTTAGAAATAACGGGCAGTCCCTGGAGAGCAGCAGCCTGGAGGGGTCTCACATGGGAGTCTATTTCTCCGCACACTGGGTGAGTGTTTGTCCCTCTTCAGTCCAGACAGAAGGAGCAGTGATGTTCCACCAAGACCAGTTGTGGTTGGCTTCTGGCGGTTCTTGCTTTCTCCTGTGCCTGCTGCATTGTTGGCAAGCCATGAGTGCTTGTTGTTATGAACGATAATAGCAGCAAGAAAATGATGTCTTTGACTGGTCTAAAAGGATAGTCCTCCTAACCTCTTCTGGTGAGACTTCTAACGGACCCTGAGGGGGTTCGTTTCTGCTGCTGCCTGCTGGCACACAGTGTGGGTATGGAGGAGCCGTGCTGGGTGCTCACTATTAGAAGAGGCATTTTTGTTTCTGCCTCTTTTATAAACTGGGTTTTGCTGTACCAATCCTACTTGGGTCTTGCTAACCTGGCCTCTGATGACAAGTGGCTGGGAAATTGGAAAGAGAAGGGACAACGTCACCCTGCAGGATCCCACTCTTGTCTTTCAGTGTCCACCCTGCCGAAGCCTCACGCGGGTCCTGGTGGAATCCTACCGGAAGATCAAGGAGGCAGGCCAGAAATTTGAGATCATCTTTGTTAGTGCAGACAGGTAACGTGTGCTGGGGAGGGTGGCGGTGTAGCTGCCCTTTTCTGCAGGCGGTTAACATGTGTTCCTTTTGCCTTACACTTCTCACTTCTTTAGAGCTTGGAGGTAGGGATTGGGGAAGACATGTCTGGGAATATTGGCAGAGGGACGGATACATTTCATATTTACTCACGTAATTGTCTGCAGTGGAGCCTAGGAAAACCTGTTCTTGCTGTAAATACCTGGGTTATGTCCCAATTCTGGCCTGGATCATTTGAGATTAGGATACATTTGTCTGGTTTGTTCATCTTTTTAGATTGTGATGAAAGGATTCAGAGGGGAAAGGATGGAAAGAAAAGAGTCAGAGACTGATGGAATGTGACACCTCTCTTGGGTGGCTATGCAGTCATTTTTCTTAGCTCTGACCACATACTTTGTCTGGAGGCTATCATAAAAACAAGAAGGGCAGACATTCTTCCTGGAGTCCATCAGGTCCTTTTAGCCTCAATTTCTTCTGCTTCTTGCCCTCTCACTGGCTTTACTCATCACTGACCTTCCTCCATCACAAAACTCCAGCCCCAATTCAAACCGAGCCACCAGGCACTTCTGCCTCTTAAGTTCTTGTTCATAGAAGGGTCTCTGAGATGCCAACACACTGAGGGCGTTTTGTGCACTCTGCATCCTTAACGTCTGCACTTTGCCATGCTCGTTTTCTTGGGCCATGGTCCCACCCTGCTGGTCCCCAGCTCCCATCTCTGCATGTGAGTGGCGGCAAGCTTGAAGGCGTGCCACGTGGAGTGATTGCTTTTTTTTTTTTTTATTAATGTTATGATAGATTACAACCTTGTGAGATTTCAGTTGTACATTATTGTTAGTCATGTTGTGGGTACACCACTTTCCCCTTTGTGCCCTCCCCCCACCCCCCCTTTTCCCTGGTAACCACCAATCAGATCTCCTTGTCAATATATTAACTTCCACCTATGAGTGGAGTCATATAGAGTTCGTCTTTCTCCGACTGGCTTATTGGAGTGATTGCTTTTTTAAAGCTTTAAAAAACAGCAACTTTATTGGAGTATAATTTATTTACAGTAAAATGTGTACATTTTAGTTATGCAGTTCAATGAGTTTTGACCAATGTATGTACCCGTGTAAGTTAAGATATAGAACATTTCCGTCACTCAAAAGACTCCCTCGTGCCTCTTCTTGGTCCGTCTTCACCCCCAAACCCCAGCCCCAGGGGCCCCCCGATCTGCTTTCTATCATTGGATTAGGATTGTCATTCCTGGAGTTTCTTAGACATGGAATCATAGGTTAATGCTTTGCTAAAAGTGTGGTCCATCACTGTTATGTGCACAAATCAGAAGCATCACGGGGAATGCAGTGTCTGTGCACTCTAGGCTCCTTATAAAAGTAAGACCTGTCCGAATGGAATACTCCTCAGCCATAAAAAAAGACAAAATCGTCCCATTTGCAACAACATGGATGGACCTGGAGAGTATTATGTTAAGCGAAATAAGCCAGACAGCGAAAGACAAACACTGTATGATTTCACTCATTTGTGGACGTAAACAAATTTATGGACAAACAGACAGTTTAGTGGTTACCAGGGGGATGGGGATGGGGGTTGGGGGTGGGTACAAAGGGTGAGGGGCACCTTTACATGGTGTCTAACAAATAGTAATGTACAACTGAAATTTCACAATGTTATAAACTATTATGACCACAATAAAAAAAATTTAAAAAAAAAAGGGAAAGGCCTGTCATGTTGAAGAATGAAAAGTTGAGCATAAGTTGAACTGGTGGGACGCAGGCAGGAGGCTGTTGAAATGGCCTGGCGTTGTGCTTTGGCATCCGCCTGCTGTGTGGAGGCCTGTGCTTCTTGGCGTACGCCAGGATGGGCGGCATAGCCCTCCTGTGTCATCTGCCTGGTGCCTGAGGAGCACGTTGGTTAGCGGCCCCGGCATCCGCAGAGCCCTGGGCATAAGCGGATAGAAGGTGGGGAGGACCCAGTGCTGGTGCGTTCGGATGTAACAGAGCCATGTTTCCGCGTGTGTCTCCGTAGGTCAGAGGACTCATTCAAGCAGTACTTTAGTGAGATGCCCTGGCTCGCTGTCCCCTACACCGACGAGGCCCGGCGGTCGCGTCTCAACCGGCTGTATGGAATCCAAGGTAGGCATTCCCCACTCCGTGGGGTCCCTGGAAACCTGCTGTCTGGGCTTACCACCTCTTTGGCTTTGCTTTTAGAGGGAAAAGAGCATCCTTATTTCCATGAATGTTCACGTTCTTCACCATCTTAAAAATTACATGCAGTGAATTTTATGGTATGTAAATTACACCTCATTAAAGCCAGGTTTTTGAAAAAGTACATGTCCAGGTGAGACAGCTAGTTCTCACCACCTGGCCTAGTGAGTTCGGATGCAGTTGGGCCGTGGAGCACATGCTCCCAAACGACTTGGCCAAAACCTTATCCCAAGGGGTCTGCTGTCAGACAGACCTGAGAGTGATCTTTGGTTCCATAGGACTCTGAGCCACGGTTTCCTCATCTGCAAATCGGGCATGAGAAATCTCTGCCACAAGGCATTGTAGGGGCATTAAAGGATAATGTATATAAAGCGCTTCATATGGTTCCTGACGCATATAGTGAGGGCTGAGTGCGTGTTACTTTTTAGGTGAGAAAACAGATTTCCTGAGAGGGTGGAAAACTAAGACTTGGAGTTCTAATCATGGTGTTTTTCAGAAATAATGATTATTAGTGAGGCAAACTGTGCTTTTATTCTTTATTATTTGAATACCTCCTTCCCAGCCTTTCCCCAGCCAGGTGTTCTCTTGGTGAAGCACTTAATTGGTCTGTTAAGAGTTAAACTCATTCCCCTTGTGTCAGTCGTACCAGAGCCTGGTCAGCCCTAAACAGGTACAGCTAATATTTGAGTTCTCAGTGCTCCTGTGTTACAGAGAGTGAAAAAAAGACAAATCCGAGATTTAACCACAGGGGCCAGCCCAGTGGCGCAGTGGTTAAGTTTGCACACTCCATTGTGGTGGCCCTGGGGTCCCCAGGTTGGATCCCGGGTGCAGACCTAGCACTGCTCGTCAAGCCACGTTGCGGTGGCGTCCCACATATAGAGGAAGATGGGCACAGATGTTAGCTCAGGGCCGTTCTTCCTCACACACACAGAGAAGATTTACCCACAAATTCCACAGCTTCCGGGGGAACTCATCAGGTTCTTCACCCTTTTTTCTTCACCATTTAGAGTAAGCATATGGCTTTGTTTAGAGCCGAAGTTTCAAAAAATTAATATTTAATTTGTAATTGGTGCTTCTCCGTTTCAAATGTGCGTAAGAATCGCCTGGGGATCTTGTGAGAGTGCAGGTTGGGCTTCCGTGGGCCTGGGGGGGGCTGAGAAGCCTGCGTTTCCAGCGGGCCCCCAGGCGATGCTGGTGCGGCTGGTCCAGGGACCACACTTTGGGTATTAACAGTCTAGATCTAGGGGCCCTTTGAGAACGTTGGAGGCTCATGCCTCCTATTCCTAAAAATGAACTCCTCCTCCCCACCCCAATGAAAAAACGGCAATCCCCAGTGTAGGGGAGAGAGCAGACTGCTGGTAGGAATGTAAATCAAGACAACCTTTCAGGAGAGCGATTGGCAATCTACATCAGAGGCCTTAAAAATCTACAAAACCTTTAATTTAGCAATCCCGCCTGTAGGACTTCCTGCTTAGGAAATTATCCTCCAGCGCCAGCAAAGGTTGAGCTTCTCTGGAGCAGGTAGGATAGTTTTGTTTTTTTCTTTCATCTTTTGTATACTTTGAATTTCATTGCAGACCACGATTCTTTCTTTGCTTTAGTCTCTAGAAAACCCAGAGCTGGATTTATAACCACCTTCAGCAGTTTTGCAAAAATGCCCATTTCTGTGCACATGCCCTTGACCCTGGCTCCGTTTTTCTCTTTTTTCCTTCCTTGTTTTCCCTTCAGGGGGATATTTTCATCTCTTTTTATTGGATTATATCATGCAGTTTTTAAGCTGCCTCAAATCCTTTTTGGGGAAAAAGATGGAGTAGATTTATATGCACAGGATTGTGTTTCTTGAACTCCTACTAACCACCAAGACTCTGCAGTGAGCTCCGTGGGAGATAAACCAGCAGGGTGGGCTGGTGCTGCCCTTGAGTGGACGAGATGAGATTTACATTGGGAAATAAGTAAAGAGCAGAGTATGATGATGTCTGGAGAAACTAAAAAGTGTTGGTCAAATAAGTGCCATTTCGTACGAGGGCTTAGCAGACTGACACTTGTCCAGAGGGTGGAGCTGGGTGCTGGGCCTCACTCAGCCACTCTGCTCAGTCAGGAGGCCTCTCCACGTAGAGACTTCTTTCCAAGCACGTGTCATCAGTGGAGCAGAATCTTTTCCTCTCCGAGGTAGGGAATTGAGTTGCCCTTTCCTGGATGTGGGGTCCAGCATGATGCAGATATTCCTGGTGGTCAGTGCTAAGGCCGTGGGGTCACCTGAACTTAATAAATTGCCAAAGGATGGTCTACAGACAACACATAGCCAGCTTGAGGCTGGCAGTGTGTACCCTCCCTGTGTTCTGTGAGATGCTTCTGAGGACCCTTTGGAGGGTGGGTGCCAGCGTCATAAGGAGAGATCATGAGCTCTTCAAGATTCAACACAAGTTTTGGATACACTGCTAAGGCTGGAGGACACCCTTCTGGAGAATGTGGGCAAGGCACAAAAAAATTAAATTGATGGTTTCCTGTCTGCCTGCAGAAAGTGGAGAAGGGAACTCTCCTTCGGATTCTCTAGTTGTCAGCATGTAAATATTACAGCCATAGGAGCTGCGGTTGTTAGGTGTGGCCCAGACAGCCAGAAAGAGGATGACCACAACTGAGGAGGAAGAGAATGGAGAGTTCTCAGAGACGCATTCATTTGGCACAATCCTTAAGGCCCTAGCAGTGTGGGGATGGAAGTACATACGTGGTCCCCAACTTCAAGGAGCCCTTAGTCAAGGATCAGAAAGCTGCTCTGAGGAGGCTCTGTGCCCAGGCAAGCAGTGGCCCACCAGGCATGCCATAGTAGAAGAATGTGAGATTCACATGGAACGCAACTCCGGCCAGCGCGCGTCCTCTGCAGCCCAGTCCTGCACCAGGCGCGTCCCACTGCTCCTCGTCTGCTGAAGCCATGGCCTATCCTCCCCTGCCATCTGTTCTGGTCTGTCTCCAGCTTGGACTTGTCTGCTGTCCCGGCTCCCCACCTCCTGCTTCCTCGCTCTCGGGTTCACAGTCTCTCCCTGGCTTAGTGTTTTGTGCCGACTGCATCCTTGATCACTTGACCTCTTGGGCTAAGGCTTAGAACTCATTCCTGCAAACAGCCTGTCAGACACTGCCTCCTGACCTTGGTCTGTCTGCCTCTGGCCCTGTGAAGCCAGAGATGCACTAAAGCATGGTGGAACAAGAGTGGAAAAGAGCAGCACAGGCTCCTTCTCAAGGCAGCATTTAATGAAGGGCCACTCAGCGGAATAATCCGAGTTCAGAGGAGAGACTTGCTTAGAGCTGTTTGCCAGGAAGGCTTCCTGGCGGAGGTGGCTATGGAGCAGGGCCTCACAGAATGGATGGGGTTTAGATAGGGAGTTTGGGACATTCCAGGGCAAAGGCCAGAGTAGGATGTGCATGGTGTACTATAGGGCAGAGTGGGCAATAAGGCTGGTGGGGCCACATCGTAGAGGGCCTTGAACGCCCTGCTGAGGTTTTACACTTGACACTTTGGACTTCTGGAGCCTTTTGAAAGTTTTGATTAAGGGGAGATCAGTGCAGTATTGACATTCAAGCTAAACTGGAAGAGAAATCCTAGAGGCAGGCTGTCCACTGATATTTCTGATGGCACCCACCGTGACCAGGCCTCACACAGGGCTCACAACAGGCCTGCCTATGGGGAGAGGGAAGCTGCACCCTTGGGCTCTGAGGCAGGTGGCCCAGGTGGCCTCTGCAGCCCAGTGCCCGTCTCCCTAGCTCTGCCTCCCTCTAGCCCCACAGGGTCACTTACGGTCTTCTGCTTCATGGCATTTCTGAGGTCCCCCGTGCAGCAGGGGTCTGGTTTCTAGTAGAAGCACACGTGGCTAGTAAGTTCTCATGTGGCATTGTACATTGATCTTACCAGTCAGCAGCTCTGTTCTCACAAGGACAAGGGCAGACAAGTTTTTGCATCCCACTGCCTCTCACTCCCAACACAGAAGGTAGAGAAAATCCACGGTCTGCTGTAGGAGGTGGGTTGCTGAGAACCTCCATTGCAGCCTTGCCCAGGCTGGACCAGGAGTGGAGGGACAGGGATGTGGAGCAGGGGCTGGCAGAGGAGCTGAGGTCTTGGGGCCATCGCTTTCCTCCCTATGGCCGTTTCCCACAGCTCTCGTCTCCTTTCCCTGCCCCTCTTCCAGCTTCTCTCCTCCGCAGATCTGCCTTAGTGGGAGTACGGCCAGCTCTCCTGAGTTCCCTCTGTTTCCCTCCTCTCTGCCATGAAACATCTCTGTTATGTCCTTGGCTTCATAGCTCGGGATGTCTATGCATCGCCCCATCTCCTTTCTTCTTTCTTGTTAGAAGTATCATCCCTGCTTTCTAAGATTCTGCCTTTGTTCTTCTAGGGTCTTGCCCTTGCCTCTTGCATTTCCCTCCCTTTCTCGCCTCTTTGTCTCTGTTTCTCTATTAGCTCCTTCTTCTCCACTTCACAGAATGCTTAGCCATAAAAAAAAAATCCCATCACTCCCTAAAGCTATTGCTCAGCCTGCCCTAACAGGTGCCTCATAACAGGTTCTTCTCATTGAGAAGGTGACAAGAGAATTAACCCTGTGGTTCTCTGGGAGAGAAGAGCATTCCGGGCAGACGGAACCGCCAATGGAAAGGCCCTGGGGCAGAATCGTGCCTCACGTGCTTATGGAACAGCAAGGAGGCCAGTGCAGCTGGAGCAGAATGACCAAGTCAGGTGTGGAGGGGTTAAGACTGGAGAGTAAGAAGACCAGGGCCCATAGGGCCTTGCTAATCACACTTCGGCTTTTACGCTGAGTGAAGTGGGACACCACTGCGGAGTTTGAGCAGAGTCCCACGATCTAATTTATGGTAGAGTCCCTGTGGTTGTGGTGTTGAGAAGCAGGGCAGCCAGTTAGGATGTTATTGTAATAATCCAGGGAAAA